GTCTCTTCCCTTCTACCAGAAGTAGAAAATATTTGACATTATTAATCCCATGGAATACTTTAGCTACAATAAATTCCTTTTTAAACTTGATGTTTGAAATTTGTTTTCTCTTTAATTTTAGGATTTATAGCTTTCTAATGGAGATTAAAGGTGGTTAGGCTTTGAAGGTAGAGGCAGAGATAATGAGACCTCACAATTACCCTTGGAAGCACAAGTTAGGCAATCCTTAGTCTTTTTCCTCTACAAACCTCCTCCAGGGATGCTAGGCAGGCAACTGTGGAAGGCCCGTTTCAAAGACCTCACAGCAGATATCATGCAGAGCTACCCTTCCTCTGTACTCTTTCTGTAAGCCTGAGGTACTGCCCCTGCCATAGCACTTCCTTCTATACAGTCATCATTGATTCACTCATCCTTCCCTTTTTCTAGACATGTACTTGCCTCCAGGGCATAAATAGTACCCAATTCAACTAGCAAATAGTAGATAGTATGTATGTATTATATAAATGCTGCAGAGAATGTCTGTTATTAACTTGTTCTAGCTTGTAGCCCCTAAATCAACCTTAGCCTGCTCAGGTAAAAACTTCTCTAGCCAGCCAGTTATGCTCTCCAAACCTTAACCTGGTCTCTCCTTGAGCTGAGCACAAGTCAGCTTTTCTGTGCTTCCTGCTGCCTCCTTTCCTCTTCTTTTTTTCTGACCTAAAATTCCCAAATGTTGGGGATGCAGAACTATTTATTGTGCCTGCTTTTCACAAACTCCCTCGCTATGCTTTCTTCCTACTCTACCCTTAAAGCAAGCTAATTATGCTCAGTCTATTTTAATCTTTCTATTTTAATCTTTCTTTGTTATACCATTAGATTAACAGAGAAACAAAATCTGTTTAGCTGTATCTGTTTCGGGACAATTTATATCACCAGGACCTTGCTTCCTGACTCTAGCACCTGTGATACTAGTTGTGAGATGTTGGTAGAGGAGTGTAGAGAAATGACATCCTCCATAAAATAAAATAATTAGTTCTTGAAGGTTTGGGAAGATGAAAGCTTCTAAAGGCACGTGTTCAGGCAGGAAGAAACGTCTGAACAGGTGGCCACAGCACTTTTCTTCAGAGTCTTTACTTTCCTCTCATGTTGATAACTTGTCTTACCACTATGCTGGCCCCCAGGAGCATACACTTCTTCAAAGCCCTAACTCCCTGGCTCTTGATTCTCTTTAGTACTATGAAGCTACGCTGGACTTTTCAAAAAGGCTTTACTAGTGTGAACTAATGATCACTGGGTGGAGAAATCATGGATGATCATTTTCTTCTTTATTCTTTTTTGGATTTACTGATTTTTAAATTGGCTTATGTATTATTTTTATAATCATATTAAAAGTGAGAGTTTGCAAAATTCAAAGGGAAAACAAGCAAGTCATGAAACTGTAAATAAGCATACAAACTATTATGGCTAACTTGTCTTCACATTTGCTCTCCAAGCTGCTCTTCCATTCCACATCATTTTTGAGGGTCCTGCTGGGGAAGCTCACTTTTTCAAGTGATAGTCCTCTTGATATGTTGCAGAAGACGTCACTGAGAAAACAATGGTTGGACTATGGAACTGATTTCTCACTGAGGGTAAATAATATAATACACATTCTTGGTAGAAATCAGCATGTAAAGAAATCACCTAGCTCCAGAAGCCTCCCCATTATCTTCCTCCTCAACTTAAGGTAAGAGTCAAATGTTGTTTTCTTTGGGATCAAATTAAATTTTAGGCTGTCTACATGACCAGATAGTGAACCCTGGGGCCAGTTGGGTGGGTAGGAACCCCTGTTAGTAAGGCATCAAGTCATTGCAATGAATTTCAAAAGCTGTGTGATTGTAGCTTTTAAGGCAGAAAATTTTGGTGCTTTTAAATGTTAGAGCATTGACAAAGGAAAATGAGAATATAAATGTTTGCTTTGGCTGTAATTCAGCAGCAATAATTGCAGTCATTTTTGCATGAACTGCTTACCCTTTATGCCTATAGCACACTACAATTATTTTCAAATAATTAAATATCATTTAATCATTTAATTATAAAACTAAACTGTTGATATGCTCATGTATAGCTTTTTGTGTCATAGGAGTTATCTGCTTATATAGCTTAGTTGTTTGTTCATACTCTAAGAAGGAAATGGAACATGGGAGTCACCCTAGTAAGCATGCCTGTGGTAGTTTAGTTTATCCTCATTGGTTGGATCAGATCCAGTGACAATGCCTCAGATATTAAATCAACCCTAATAATATTTGAAGGATAAATATAAGATTATTTGCTAAATTGGGGGTAAAAGGTTTCTTTTGCTGCAAAGAACTTGGACATTATTCCTTAAATTTGCTTTGTTTGTACCTTATCCCCCTTTGACATAGGCTGGGGTTTTAAAATGATTTTTGCTCTTCCCGTAAGTATAGTTATGGATTTTGGCATTTAAAAATGTATTATTTCCTACCTTTCACTGCCCCCTGCTTCAGTATTCCGATTTTTCTTTTTTCCTTAATGTTTATTTTTGAGAGAGAGCAAGCAGGGAGTGGCAAAGAGAGGAGGACAGAGGATCCAAAGTAGGCTCTGTGATGACAGCAGAGAGCCCAATGCAGGGCTTGAACTCAAACTGTGAGATCATGTCCTGAGCTGAAGTCGGACATTTAACCAACTGTGCCAACCCAGTTGCCCCTATATTCTGATTTTTTTAATTTTATTTTTGAGAGAGGGAGGGAGAGAGAGAGAGAGAGAGAGAGAGAGAGAGAGAATGCGGGGGAGGGGCAGAGAGAATCCCAAGCAGGCTCTACATTGCCAGCACAGAGCCCAACCTGGGGCTCATTCCCACTTCATGGGATCATGACCTGAACTGAGATCAAGAGTCGGACAGATGACTGAATGAGCCACCCAGGTGCCCCCCCTGTATTATGATTTTTCTAAGCATGTTTCAGGTTATAAAGAATTTTCCATACCTTCACCTTCACATTCTACAGAAAATGCCATTTAATTATTTTTCTACTTACTATTTGGTCAGCAGGGGATAATTGCTTCTTTCTACCAACCAACCACTACTGTAACAATAAACTACTTATTATCCTTAAAATCCAACTATCTTGAGGTCCAGAAGGCATACTTAAATTCTATTACACATCAAGTCTATTACTGATAGGAGCAACTACCCAAATAAATAACTTAAAAAAGACATCTAAAAACTTCATTAGTAAAGAGAATCTGGGAGACTTGCTGTATATGAAAGAGGTAGAAAAAATATATCTTTATTAGCATGTTCAAGGTAGTTAAGATTTTAACAAACATCTTAATCCTCACAACAACCCTGTGAGGTAGGTAAGTCATTGTTTTGTGATAAATTAGTATTGTTCCAAATAAAGTGCAATTCTTAAAAGAATAATCTGCATTAGGAATAATTATGTTAATGAACCACTTATGTATATGCTAATATTTGTGTTGTTGTATACTTTGATTCATGCATTAAGGTGTCCCCACAAAAGTCTGCTGTAAATAAAATCCTATTTAAATACATGGTGGGGACTATTTAAATAAACTCTAGCGTAGATTTTTTTTGTAAAATAAATTGCTATTTTTTTTTATCTTGCACAAGATGCAATTTTCACAGTTTGCTCAAAGTGAGGCATTCTCAGCAACATTGCACTCACATTTAGTAATTCTTCTGTAAGCTACTTCAACATGGCACCAAGCCAATGTAAGACTGACTTAATTTGTTGAATTAAATTTGGTATATGGCAGTGAACTGTGTTATCATGTAGAAATCTCCAAATATACTACACTCAATCCCAACCCAAAATCTTAGACTGCTTACTGAAATTAAACACTAAAGTGAATAATAATAAATTTCAAAAAGTATTTTCCCTTGAGAGTAATACTTAATTTTTTCCCTTAAAACTGTAATAGGAAGAGAGATCTTAGGGTCTTTGAAAACAAACATAATTTCTGATAATTACAAAATTCTTGTGATTTATATTGCAAATCAAACCCTCATGCTATCAGTTTACTACTTACAAGTAAGCCAGCAGTTTGTTACTCCAAAAATGTTAAGTATTTTTTTCTCTGTGCCAATGTGACTTACTAGGACAAAAAATATTCCAGACACCGTTTTCTCTTAAATATATATTTAAAGTACATTTCTATTGTTAACCCAACATTAGTAAACATCCAGTTGCCTAATATTTTTTTATAGTTGTCTTATCTTCAGAATAGATTTTTATTAGAGGATTTCCATTACATTTAGTTATATTATATAATTTACTTGTAACAATAACTTTAATTAAACTTGGGAGCTTAGTTAACACTTAAAATTTGCTGGCAGGTATATAATACTTTAGCAAGTGGTTAAAGTAATTTGCTATTATAGAGAAATAATTCAAGCCCAGAAAAATATTCTCACCAAAGTATTTTTAAAAACTATTGCAGGAAAATTAGGCAAATCAACAAATAAAAAAGACTAAGCCATCTATAAGCTGTACATTCAAATCCATGCTAGATCCAACAGTGCACTTTGGATTTTAGTGAGGTAGGGCAAAAAATATAGTCAGATACACTTTGAACTGTTAAATTTATATAAACTGAAATACTGACTTGTAACCAGGTTTTATTTGAATATCCAAAAAGAAAAATTGAGAATTCAAATGATGAAGTATTTTCTTAGATTCAAGGACAGAACTGCAAAAATCCTTTGAGTACATATAAATGAAAAATACAAAGGCTACAAGATACATTTTATTTCAACATAATGTATGCTTGTTATGCTTGTATAAAAATAACCCAGGACATAGAAAAAACAAATACAAACATTTTTGCATAGATTCTGTATATATAATATTTACCTGGGGCTAAACACTGGAAAAATACACCTCTGAAACTAGTATAGTTCAACTATTTCCTTGGATACCAAGAATTTACAAAATAAAAGCCCTTCATCTGGGGGAGCATGGGCAGGAGGGAAAACAATTTAATTTAGCATCAGTCTATATTTATTTCTCTGTTGCTCGAATATAAACCAATGATGACAAGAGGAGAAACTCTGGGGGTTTATTTAACAAAATTAAATTCACATTTCTGAGGCCATCATAGTGCATCCAATGTCCATCAATCTGGAAAGCTGCAGAATAATGATGTTCCTCTTTGTTAAATAATGTGGCACCTTCCAACAAATACCTGCAAATTAAAAGACAAAGTATAGCAAAAAAGATAATACTTCGTTCTTTGATAAATATTCCTTCAATTCTTAATTAAGGAATAAAAATATCGATATTATTTGCATTCTAGTCCCTAAAAATGATATCCATCTGTAAAAATCATGTGCTATAATTGGTAATTTGAAGTAAAATATTTAAGAATTTAAAAAATTGTACAATTGAGGAATTTTGAAAAACACTTTAACAGATTAACGATAATCTGTATTGTTTGGTTACATAAGAGAACACACACACAAAAAGCCTTTCAAAGGCAAAAAGTTGAGACTCTGTATGTCCTAATTTGAATGCAGATATTTTCATCTCTGATATTGAAAGTAACATTTTTTGTTTAAATGATGACCTCCTACTATACACTACTTTGACTTGAAATACAAGCAATAGTATTTACTGTTTACTATGTGTCAGGTACTATCCTAAACACTTTACATGTGTTATCTCATTAAATCTTCACAATTATGTACCAGATAGGTACTGTCAGCAGTGTTTTACAGAATAAGAAACTGATGTTTCAGCTGGTTAAGTTCTGGCCCACGGTTACATAGCTTGTAAAAGGTGGGGCTGGGATTTGAACCCAATTCTGTCTATTCCATAGTCCAACCACTGTGCACACTGCCAGTGAATGACTCCCTGTAGTAGATTCTAATCTTACTCAGGATACACACAGTTAGAGAGAGCTACGGGATACCTGGGTGGTTCAGGTTAAGCGTCTGACTCTTGATTTCAGCTCAGGTCATGACCTCACAGTTTATGAATTCAAGCCCGGCATTGGGCTCTGACAGCTCATAGCCTGCTTGGGATTCACTCTCTGCCCTTCCTCTGCTCTCTCTCTCTCTCTCTCTCACTCACTCAAAAATAAATAAACTTAAAAAAAATACACTAAAAAAAAAAGAAGATAGCTATGATTTTTTTCAACAATATTACCTTAAGGGCTAGTCACAATCATGATGGGATAGCAGAAAAATAGAAAATAAATGTATTTTTTATTAGTTTTATAAACCGAATAGGAAAACACCTACTTGTGATCAGATAAATCCAAGTAATATGGTACATATGCTAGATCTTCAGATTTCCAATGCTGCATATTTAAGACAACAAAAGGGGGTGCCCCATGGCAGAAAACTCGCTGGGAAAATTCTCTTAAGCCACCACATCTAAAATTGAAAATAGGCATGAACTTTATTACACTTAAAGCAAAACTGCCTTTTATCACTTCTGGATTGTCTTTATTACTTAATTTCCTAATAAGAATAATTATCTATTTTAGGCATGGGTAATGGTGTGGCTACAATAGTATCTTATATACCTATATCCAGAAACTTATCAGCTGTGAGATTCTATATACAAGAAGTCATATACTTGCAAAACTCCAGGAAAAGCTAGCTATCTTTTTCCTAAGCTTATAAAAACATGTAGTCTTTTGAACTGATATAAAAGCTTTTATTTTTATGTAGAGATACATTTGCTTTTTCTCTCTCAGCTGGTTTCAAGGAATAATGGCAGAGGTAAATAATATGACTCTTACAGTCATTTTTATATTACATAAAATTCCCTAATTGCATCCTTTTGCCATTAGGATGAAACAAATTCTGTTTTCTTAGCACTATTACATATTAAGCATGTGGATCAGAATATAACATACACAATTATACAGTAAAATCTCGATTAACCGGAATACTCAGAGCACAGTATTTTGGTTCCCAAATGTTACTGACTAAAGTTAATCAGAAAACCATTGTGTTTCAGTGTTTGCTGTTAAAATACATTAGTCTAGTTTCTGGACTTAAGTACAATTAACTGAATGTATTTTATTCTTCCCTTGTGATTAATTAGCTTTAAGATCATCCTTCTAAATATTAACTCTCATTGTACATTTCTGAAGATATAGAAATTGTTAAGCGACTGGGATGAATATGTTCTGCCCCTTTTGAATTTTTTAACTATGTTGAATTTTTTGGTTGCCATTTACCTCTTTGTCCTAAATGAGGAATGCAGAAAAAAGTCCAGTTAATTGAGGGTCCGATTAGCTGGGTTCCGGTTAACCAAGGTTTTATTGTACCTACTCAGCAGTGGGGAGAGAAAAGAAAAGGCATTTGCTTTGTATTCATCAATTAAATGTAGTATAATATTCTATATAGTGATATTTGATAATGACAACACAGCATAAAATAGCAGTGTAAACTACGGTAGGTGTTAAGATTCCAAAAACGTTAGGCTTCCTAAATACTTGTGAGTTGCTATTTCATAAAGTATTAACACCAAAGACCATATCTGTTCAGGTTTCTTTATAAAAAACATAAATACTTTCATCTTAAATGTCTCTCATATACTCACCCACTCTCTTCACACAGTTCAATCCTGGAACAGAATAACTCATCCACAGCCAGTCGTATCAAGTTTCCATGAGGAATTTCTTGGGGAGGACTACAACAATTAAAAACGCATGTAAGAACTGCTTTGACATTTTTCATGTAAATACATTATTAGGATAGCAAATTTTACAGGTCAATTCATTATTAGCAAACCAAATATAAAAGTATAACCTCTGTTTTTCACCTTTGTTATAATCATAGGAAATCAGTTGAACTTAATAAACATTAATGCATGCAGCTTTCCAAGAAACATCAAATCGTTCTGTAAACTGATCCTGAAATATGCAGTTGTTACTTTAAAAATTTTTCTAGAGATTTCAGTAGAGCAGATTCTGGTCTTAGGGGAAGAAAGGTAGGACCCAGAATCAGGAGAGCAGCCAGTTACATGACTAAATGCAAGTTATAGCATTGTTGGCTTCAGTTAACCTGATTTGTTAAAAAATTTCTTGCTACATACTTCAGAGATTGTTTTAAATAAAGGCAAAAGCCTTAAAAAGTTACATGGAATATAAACAGTATGACAAAAAATATTTTATTGAGAAGCTTAAAATAATAGTATTAATATAGGATTATAAATCATTATATTTCAAAACATATATAAACTGATATTAGTTTTTGAAGAAACAAATTTCTAAAATGCTTTTTAGTTTATTATAGAGTAACAAAGCTTGGGGCGCCTGGGTGGCTCAGTCGGTTAAGCATCCGACTTCAGCTCAGGTTGTGATCACACAGCTCATGAGTTCAAGCCCCATGTTGGGCACGTGCTGACAGCTCAGAGCCTGGAGCCTGCTTCAGATTCTGTGGCTCCCTCTCTCTCTGCCCCTCCCCCTGCTCATTCTCTCTCTCCCTCTCTCTCTCTCTCTCTCTCAAATAAACATTAAAAAAATTAGAATAACAAAACTTTTTTCCGGGATAGAGATTTCAAAATCAGTGTCATCGTATCAGTAACACAGGAAAACGGACCAAGTGTATTTCAGAACAAGAGAGATATTTGCTGGCAGACTCTAAAAAGAGTATCTTCAGCTTTCCCTAAGTAGCATGATGTGATAATATTAAACTAAATATGCTATAAAGAAATGTGAATCTAGTAAGTTGGGGTATGTACTGTATATTCTCAAAAGGGAACATCTACTAGGCTGCTTTTGTGAACCACAGGGCCAAATACACTTTCTGACAACAATGTGTTTGGGCTTGTTTTTCTGTCCTGTTTTTCTACTGACAGTTATCCCTTTTCCAGCTAATGTGCCCTGGGGGCTTTAATGTTTCCCAACACTACACTAGGGCTTGCCAGTTTGGCCTTCTTCCCTATCATTTACCAGCCTGGAGGTATGCCTTCTCTCTCGAAACCAAAAATACTCGGTAGGCTATCAGCACCTCTCCTCGTCAGGGAAAAAGCTCCTCACATTCATATCCTCTCCATGTACTAAGATTCTGAGTTTAGGGTTTCAGTCTATAATTATGTCCTGGCCATGACATGAAGAAATGCTTTTTTTTTTTTTTAGAGAGAAAGTGTGAGTTGGAGAGAGAAGGGGAGGGAGGGAGGGAGGGAGAGAGTTTGAGAGAGAGAAAGAGAGAGAGAGAGAGAGAGAAAATCTTAAGCAGGCTACATACTCAGTGAGAAGCCCAACTCAGGGCTTCATCACACAAACCTTGGGATCATGACCTGAGCCAAAATCAACAGTCAGAAGCTCTACGGACTGAGCCACCCAGGCGCCTCTGAAATACTTTCAATCTTCTTGTTCATGTAGAAATAGCCTACCCAACAGAAATCCATTCAAGGGGTGACACATTTCAATATAGTGTTAAATGTTCTTCAAGAGGTTACATTTATGACACAAAAAAATAATTATCTACACACTCATATTAGCAAATTCAAAGCAAGAGTAAAACATTTTTCATACTAATTCATTACTTTCCCAGTGAAATAATTACTAGCTGGTTTTATAAAGTCAATTCCAAGATATTTGGATTTAATAAATAGTTAACACTTGTCATGGGACTTACTATAGTCTTGCATTTATGTGGTTACCATGTGTAAGTAACTACACAAGGTCTGTACTTTAGAAAGTGCTCTGACTATACTTATTTACTTATAGCAACATTCACTTAAAAACTGTATTATTTTCGCTAAGAGTGACACTTTAAAGCAACTTACTTTATATTAATCGTGCGTTGCTGATCTTCCTGTACTCGAGTTGGGCATCGCCAGTTGGAACAGTAACTCTCTTGTATGGTAGACATGAGATTTTCAAGATTTTTTGTAAAATTATCATGCTCATTACCAAATAAATCAATTATTAATGAAGCTTTATGAACTTCAGATTTGTATTGCTGTTTTTCCATCTTGTCCCAAATCCAAAGTAGCTTCACAGTTGTGAAACTGTAGGTGTCCATTAAGTAAAGGAAACAGTCTACAAACTCTCTACCTAAATGAAGAGAGAGCTCCCTGGGGAAATTTTCATTTTCATTAAGAATGACATATAGTAACATCAAGAATCCATCTATGGTGCAGGTATTTTTCAGTCTTATTTCAACATAAAGTGGTGTACAGGATACTGCTTTGCGGCCAGCTTTGATAGTAAAAACACCTCCCCAAGGAAGAACAGGCCTCCAAAATGAGCGATCTTGGTTATAGTTATTTTTAATTGATGCTTTGATCTCTTCAAACAGTGTCTTCATCCTGCATTTCAAAAGTTTAAAAATAGAACATGTAAATTTGTGACTTTATATGTTAAATTTTTGAGATGTGTTCAAATCAAAACAAACTTGTCTAAACATTCAAATTAGGTGTGCCTGACTGGCTCAGTCAGTACAGCATACCACTCCTGATCTTCCAACTGTAAATTCAACCCTCACGTCAGGTACAGAGATTATTTAAAAATAAAATCTTAAAAAAAAATCAAATTAAATTTGGTTAGAAGGCCTACCAATATAATGAAAAAATTTAAAACAATTCTAGCTGAGCCAGAATTGGCTCAGAATTGCCATATTGGCAATATGCATGGTCTCTGGAAAGACCATTTAGAAGTGCGATCTTTTTTGAGGTATAGGATGAGCACGTGATACACTTTTACACTAATTATACTGCAGATTTTATCTTTGCTATAGGAAGACCCTGAAATAAATAAGTCCTAAATGAAAACAGAGCTTTTGAAGATGCAATCTAAATTTGGGTGGGTGTATTCCTAATGTAAACCTCTTTCTCCTCCCTTCAAAATACAAGCTGTGCTTCATTTCCTTTTTAATATGCATGGTTGCACTTATGAAATTGCTATAATGGAATTCTTAGTTCAGCTACAGAATAATGGCCAATTATCTGAGACCTCATATGAAAAGTAATCCACAGTACTTAACTGAATCATTGCCACAGCTGATACAAAAATCATTTCTATGCACTTTGGGATTTTCACTTGCAATTTAGGACCATGCTGGATACCCTATAATCCTAACTGCAGAGACCATGCTATGAAGATCTAACTTAGAACTTGGTAAGTAATCTGATTCCCCTCTCCGTTCGTTTTGGGAATGAACAGGGACGTCCACCCTACTTAAACTGTTATTTATCCTTCCCCTAACCTTGGGGTTAGCTAAACATTTTGTTTTTAAGGTCTTTGCCAGTATTCTATAAACATGTTTGTGTCATAATGTATGTTATATAAAGCAAAGTTTTAAAAAGTTAAAGAATGAGGTCCTAATGAAACTGAACTGAAAATACTGCTTTACTTGGGACAGTAAATATCTAAACTAAAAATATCATAGGGTTTCTTAATGTTACTTTTATGGAAAAGCATATTTCCATGAAAAAGGAAAGCATCTGAAGAATAGGAAGAGACCAATTCATGACTGAGGTCAATGTCTTATTTTGACTTTTCAAGTGCCACACACATACTCCCAAGCACAACATAAATCCAATACTCAATACTGCAGACCTATGTGTTTTATTTGTGTAAGAAATTAAGTTCACATAGCATAGAGTTGTTGAATCACTGTTGTACACCTCAAACCAATGTAACACTATGTCAACTATACTTCAATTAAAAAAATCTGTTTTACACTTAAATTCCAACCAAATTTACAATACTAGCAGACTAAAAATTCAGTTCTACAATATATTAAATGCAGGCACACATGCACGGGCACAGTATTTTCGGCTTGAGGCAAGATGCTGTGGACTACAAAATATTCAACACTATATTTAGTCTTAAGTGTAGAAGTTTACACAGTTGGTAACATGTTGTTGGCTCTAGACAAGCATTTAGGAATAAGAGGGCGTGGTAAATCTGGAGCCTTAGGCAAACACAAACTGTTTCTTCTTGATAGGACTAACATGTTTCCCGAGCAGGTTAAAAAAATACATATATGGCATTCAAAACTTTAAAAATGAAAATGACTTCCTTCATGGTTTCATTTATTTCTGTTTAAGTTTTAAGAACTTTGTCGCAAGGTCTAAGCCTGAGTTCTGATTCCCAAATGTTAAATTGTGAAGGAGTCATAAATGTTTTTCTTCAAATTATCTTTTAGACATGACCAAATAAGTAATATTTACAGCAATTGTTATACTTAAGAGAATTAAACTACACTTTTACATATATATATGTATGTATGTGTAACGAAATTAACTTCTCTAGCCTTTTTCTGCGGGGAGGGAAAGTGCAGGGTAGAGAGGCTTGGAAGAACTAGAGGACACTTAATCCTTTCAGCATTAACGTGGTGATTTGTTACAAAGTAAATTACAACAAAAATGAGCAGAAAAGGCGGAGAAATGGCTGCAAAGAGCTTTACTTAAAATTGTCTTGAGATTTCTCCACATCGTCAAAGACGGTTTCCTTAGGCACCGTATTAGAAGCCCTGGAGGACATATCCTGCTGGCATTATCGTCCTGATTCAACAGGCCCTCCAGTTTAAATAAACCTGGAAAACTCCCCCGACCTTTTTCCTTGGCAAAACGACATCTTTCTTTTGGGGTCATTTTCAAGGGTGACAATCTGTACTTCACGCTGATCGTGACGATCAGACCACTCGCCCTAGCTACTGAATGCCGGATTCCCTAAGAGCTCGGCGGTCCTAAGGGTCCCCTCTCGAATCAGCACCCCGAAATAATCTGAAAAACGGCCACGCGCTCCCCCTTGAAGCAGCGCGGGGCTCTGGGCAGGGACCCGCTGGGCGCGCGGTGGGCGCCCGCCTCCGTCCCCCGCGCTTCGGACACGCCTACGCCGCCCCCGGCCCTCCGAGCAGGCGAAGGCCTGGCACCGAGGGCTGGTCCCGCAGGGCTGCAGGTCCCTGAGCCAGGAGCAGGTGATACGGCTCGGCGCCCCTGCCCACGGTCAGGCAGTGTTCCCCTAAGCGCCTGGGACTGCGGGCACTGGCGGGAGGTCCGGGCCGCGGAAGGCGTTCCCACACCGGCCAGTCTCCGTCCACCAGGAAGCCGACTTCTCGTACCTCCCCGGGGACCGAAAACCGCCGGTGCCGCCGCACCCGTCGTCGCCGCCGCTTGCTCATGGAGAGCCCGTGCTGCAGCCGCCGCCGCCGCCTCATCTACTAGCACCGCCCGCTGTCTGGGCCTCCCCGGCGTGAGTGCTGGGCTCTGGCACGGCCGCCATCGCACCCGCCACGGAGGGAGCCACAGCAGCTCCAGCGCCCAGGCCGGATCCGACCGGACCCACGGAGCCAGGACCGCAGGACGCGGAGCTTCTTATTACGGAGGAAGATTCGGCCTGACCTCGGCCCCCCTCCCCCCAGCCCCTAGTTCCCAGCCGCCTGACGGCGCTGCTGCGCAGGCGCGAAGACGCCCTCGCCAAACGTGCGTGTGTCGGGTGTGTACACAGCATCCAGATTTGCCCAATGGGAACCAAGATCAGGTGCGGGGGGCGGGACCTTGCAGTGAGGGGAGGTGCTACAGTGTAAGAGGGTGGGTGGGGCAGCCGGAAGTGGGCAGGGTTTGCATGGAGGCGGAGCTTTGTTGGCAAACCTGCCTGGCTTTTTGAGGTTTGTATCATTTTTAGGACATTGATTTTAGTTTGCTTCTGGGTCTTGTCATCTTAAATTCCTAATTCAGAAGGGGAAAGCTTTATTTTCTCAGAAAATTATAATTATACAAGCTTTTGATGTAAGTATATAGTTAGGAAAAGTTGAATTGGTGTTAATGTTTACTGCCCTTTTTAGTGTCGAGGTAATAATTGGCGGGGTGCTGTAATTTACAATGGAAGCTAATAAAAATTGATAGAAATTAGATAGTTTTAGTCCCACTGTAGAGATGAAAAAAATGAAGTTTGGAAATGATAAATTATCACACATTAAGTGACAGCTGGGAATTGATGCCAGAGCTGCTTAATGCTAGAGTCTGTGGGCTCAACCACTATTCCTGTTCAGTAAACCCTGGTTCTTGTGTCCTCCCTTAAAAAAATCAAAGCTCATGTGACTTAGCTCCTGGAGAACACAGGCCACCCTGAAAAATTACCTTTACCTGCTATTATAAATGCAAATGCTGTGGAGATATTCCCCAACCAACTGTTTAACAAATAATGATTGTCTGGAAAGTGAAACCCAACCTCCAGAACATACAATACAGACAGCTCAAATCCAGTCCAACACATCATTGTCGTCCTCAGTCACAGTTGAGTCTGGTGGAGGTTGGATCCCTTCTAGACTAGTCAAGGGTATGACAGGGACCTTCCTAGTGGACCTCTCTCAAGGATTCTAGTGATAGAAGAATGGTAAGTAGGAGAGAAACTTGACTTACTCAACATAAAATTACTGCACAGGGTGATGGGAGGAAATGGACATTTCTCAGAACACAGGGGGAGGAAAGAGGCTCTTCCCTCAAAGGAAGAATTAATAATTCTGGCACAGTCTGCTCTTTTTAGTTTCCCTGTTTTTCTTATTTCTTGTGGCATTTCATAGATGAAATGAGAGGCTCTGAGAGATTAAATAATTCGTATGTCTGTATTGGTATTTATAGCAAAACATTTACTCTCGATATTATAACTATCCTGTAAGTAGAACATTCTTTAAAAATGTTTGTAAATGTAGATTATATGTTCAATTGGCAATCTCTCACAAGACACGGAATTCATTTTTTACTGATTGGGTTATTCTCTTCCTGAAAGCAGAACCCAATAGTGGTGGTTGTCACGGTTTCTGGAGAATAGCAGAGAGATGGCTCATTAAACTCTGCTGAGCCTTAGCTTCACAAACCTACCTGAGGCCTTTTACTGAGATTTCCATTCTGTTTCCTTTCTGCTCCTTTAAAATATGACAGCTGAGTTGCAGGGTTTTTTTTTTAAGACAGCTTTATTGAGGTATAATTGACATGTAATATGTGGTACATATTTAAAGTATGTAATTTTATGAACTTTAACGTGTATACATACCCCATCATCTAGTCGAGTGAGTATATCCATCATCCTCAAGTTTCCTCATGCCTCTTTGGAATTTTTTCTTCGCATTCCTCCCTGCCTCCCACACGTAAGCAACCACTGATCTACTTTATGTCATTGTAGAACTCATTTGCATTTTCTAAAAATTTATGTAAGTAGAATCAGGAAGGTTTTTTTTTTTTTTTGGTCTGATCTCTTTTACTCAGTATCATTGTCTAGACATTTGTCCATGTTGTTCTGTGTACCAACAGTTCATTCCTTTTTTATTGCTGAGTGTATTCTATTATATGGATGTAGTGTACCTTATCTGCTCATCTGTTGGTGGACATTTGGGTTATGTCTAGTTTTGAGCTATTACTAATAAAGCTGCTATGAACATTTGTGTACAAGTCTTTGAGTGGACAGATCTTTCCTTTTTTCTTGGGTAAAAATCTACAAGCAGATTTTAATTTTAGCTATACTAATAGGTGTGTAGTGGCATCTTGTTGTGGTTTTAATATGTGTTTTCCTAATGATGTTGAACATCTTTTAAAAATATTTTTAATGTTTATTTTTGAGAGACAGAGAGAGAAAGCAGGGGAGCGGCAGAGAGAGGGGGACAGAGAATCCAAAGTGGGCTCTGTGCTGACAGCAGAGAGCCAGACACAGGCCTCAAAAAAAAAAAAATTGGGTGGTTACAGTCTTGAGAGTTCTTTATATACTCTGGATACAAGTTCTTTATCAGAAAAATGCTTTGGAAAGATTTTATTGTGGTATGTGCCTTGTCTTTTCATTCTCAACAGAAGAATTTTAAAGAGCAGAAGTTTTAAATTTTAATAAAGTCCAATCTGTTCTTTTATGGATTGTGCTTTTAGTGTCATTTCTAAGAAATATTTACCTACCCTAAGCTCACAAGGACCTTCTACTATGTTTTATTCTAGCAGTTTTACAGTTTAGGCTGTATATTTAAGTCTGTGATGTATTTTGAGTTAAAATTTTTTATGGTTTAAGGCATGGATTCAGGTTCATATTTGTTACGTATGGATACCCAGTTGTTCCAGCAATGTATCTTAAAAGGCTATTCTTTTTCCACTATGCTGTCTTTGTGCTTTTGTCAAAAATCAGTTGTTCAATATCATTTTATAAACATTTTATTTCATATATTTTCATTGTCAACTATATGTCAGACAGTGTGCTAGCACTGGAGATATGTATCAGTAAGAGGTGTTTGGTTGCAGAAACTAGAGACCAAATATTGCCAACTTGAATAAAATAGAAATTTATTGGAAGGATGTGAGGAATAATAGAATTAAAGGAAAAGTTGAACAATTAGGTCTCAGCTAACTTGATTGATCAGAAGGCAGGGAGTTCCCCAAAGGACAGTAAGATCCTATTAACAAAAGAAGAGGGAATGGTGCTGGGCAGATATTTGCTATAGCAGTGCTTCCCAACTTTTTTTACGTTCATTCATGATAAATGATCAGAATTGGGCAGTGTACAAGGGTAAATTGATGGAGATTAGGAGGTGTCTATATTGGACGTGGTGAGAAAAATGCATCACATTTTCTTTATATTATGTAATTGCAGGGAAAGGCAAAAATATTAGGAAGATATAAAACTTTGAATTTATATAAAACTTCTCAATGAAACCTATTTAAAAATGTGATGAGGAACTTTAGCTTGTATCCATGATAAGATTTTTATTTCAAACCTTTATTCAAACTTTATAATAATAATAATAAGGAAAAGTATATATTTCATAACTGTGTAGCTTGATGAATTTTTACAAGGTGAGCACACCTGTTGTGTGTTCCAGTTACATATATTTGCATAACAAATTACTGCTAAACTTAGTGGCTTAAAATAGCAATATTTATTTTGCTTATGAATTTGTAATTTGGGCAAGGCTTGGTAGGTTAACTTGAAGACTGGGGACTGGAATCATCTGAAGGCTCCTTTACTTAAATGTTTAGCTGTTGTTGCTACCTGTTAGCTGTGACCTTAGGTATGTCTGTGACCAGAGCACCTTCAAAGAGCCTTTCCATGCAATTCTTTGATGTTTTCATAGCATGGTGGCTGGGTAGCAAGGGTGAGCATCCCAAGAAAGAGGGCCAGGTGGAAGCTCTAGTGCCTTTTCTAACACAGTATTAGAAATCATGCAATGTCAGTTCCCGTGTATTCTGTTTGCTGGAGGTGAGTCACTAAGACCAGCCCATATAAAAGAGGAGGAAATTGTACTTCACCTTCTAATGGTAGGAGTGTCAAAGTGTCATTGGATATGTTTTTAAACTACCACACTTACCTAACCAGCTCCCTGATCAAGAAGCAGAACAATACAGTGCTCCAACCTTGCCTTCCTATCATTACCTGCTGCCTGCCTAAAAGGTAACCACTATCCTGATTTCTAACACCATAGCTTCGTGTTGCCTGTTTTTGTAATTTATGTAAATGGAACCATACAATATGTATTCTTTTGCATCTAGCTTATTTCAACATTGTGAGATTCATTCATGTTGTTCCATGATAGATTGTTATTGTTGTTTAGTATTCTATTTTGTCAATAGCACATAATTTATTTATCCAATTTATTGTCAATACACGTTTGGGTAGTTTCCAGTTTTGGCTAATCTGAGAAGTTCTGATTTGAAATTCTAGTACATGTCTTTTGGTGCTTATATATGTAACATACACATACATTTCTGTTGGAAATACATGTAGGAGTGAAATTATAGGGAATGCATATGTTCAACTTTAATAGACACTGTTAAACAGTTTTCTAAACTCTGCCACCTGCAGTGAGTAATCATGATCGTGATTTATTAACATAGGGCTTATGCTTGAAATGACTATACACAATCCCCTTTCAAGACCTATTAATAATGATATTCTCAGATTCTTGATAGTTACTGTTGACAGAAGAAGGCTGGGTTCAGCTGGCTCTGCTGAGCAGTATTGTGGCTTCTCCAGCATGTTGTCGTCTCACTTGATGGCTTAGGGATGTAAGAGCAAGTGTTTCGGTGAACAAGGCAGACCTTACGTGGCCTTTTATGACCTAACATCAGAAGTCTACCCAGTCTTTGTACACATAAGTAGGTGATGACAAATGGCAGAAGATAATTTATTTTTTTTTAATTTATTGAACATCTTTTATTTTTCATCAGTCA